GAAAGGAGTGATTTGAGTTGCAAAATTAAATTTAAGGTAAGTTATGCTAGGTGCTATTAAACTACATTCTGATGATGAGCTTGCCGCACGTTGAAAGCGTGGTAGGTTTTTGTATAGTAAGCGATGTCGCAGTTTAGTTGGAGTGCTGTTGTTTCTATAGCTTTCTTGAGCTCTAGAAATGAGTAAACTCTAAACTATGAGTAAGTATGAATGCTAAACTCATAGATACTTAAAAGCTATCTTACTAAGCTCTGAGGGAATAATACCAGGCTATTACAACAATGTTTTAAAGGGACGAGGCAATTTCAGCACATTATTTTGTAACCTGTTTAGTCCTACTTTGCTTAAAACAAAATCTCTTTGTTTAAAACTAGTTACCGAACTTTATCTGTCATTACGTCTATCGGTATCTTAGTACGAGTATGTATGAATATGTGATATTCAAATGCAGAACACAGATTGTTTATCCGGTAATCCCAGAATGTTGAGTAAAAAGTATTTTCAGAAATGTTAAGCACGCCGCGCCATGACTGAACGCCATTTCATTAGGGGGAAGTCAATTACAGCTAAAGCCGCCGAGACCATATGGTGGGTCATATTTTAGCTCAAATAACGTTCATTTTCCTTCATATAAGTGAATGGAAAAAATTTCATTAATGGCAAATGAGAAACATAAAACATGTCATAAATATTCGTTTTATATTCATGTTTTATTTTTAATATGTGTCATGTATGGTGTGTACAAGTTTTGTGACTGACTCCAGATTATGAAAAGCAGGATTCTATTTCTGTAACCGTATACATATTTATATAAATCTAACAATCTCTATAATGATGATCCATTACAAGACATATCCATGGCTATAATATTAATGACAATTATCGATGCTTAATGTTATGAAGTCATAATGACTTATAATCAGATATTTTTTAATAGCACACGATACTGCTAGGGACTTACTTTATCTTATAAATGTCGAAGGGTAGTCTCATGCGGGGTTCCCCAGGAATCGGTCTTAGGACCACTTTTGTGGAACCTCGCGTATGATACCGTTCTGAGGACCAGCCTTCCCCCAGGATTGAGCGTCGTTTGCTACGCAGACGATACTCTAGTACTGGCATGACTTAGGGGCATGGCTTCCAGGAGGTCCTTGAGCTCGCCGAGATAGGGGTGGCTTGTGTCGTCCAAAACATCAGCGGTCTGGGATTAAGGGTTGCACCTCATAAGACGGAAGCCTTGTGGTTTCACAGAAAACGCAGAGGTGCGTTTCCCACCCGCTCACTTATTAGCGTGGGGAACAGAGGTCGAGGTTGGCCAACACATAAAATACCTTGGCCTCACCCTAGACAGCCGCTGGAGCTTCGGGGTGCATTTCGAGCGGATGATCCCCGAGTTCCCCAGAGACCGCGGGAGAAAAATCGCCGCCTCTATTGTGCGGTGATACGATCCATAGCCTTCTACGGAGCGCCAATATGGGCCAAGCGCCTATCGGCCTTCTCCCGCTGCCGAGCTAAGCTTAATCAAGCGCAGCGGGTAGCGGCCATTCGGATCGTACGAGGATACTGATACAGAGGACGTCGGCGACCATACCAGCCGCCGACGGGGCCGCGGGCCGCCAGAGAGTGGGGACCTCTGGTGGCAGATTGAATGCTGCGGTAGGGGATAGGATGGTGGCCTGACTGCATTAAGACGAAATTGGGCCGCCACGTAGCGATTGAGGAGGGAAGTGTTTTTCCCCTGGGATAGGGCCTGACTAGGCATGGTGTCAATTCGGGGAGGACCTGAAATAACATTTTCCAGGTCCTCCTAGAGTAGGGCACCTGAGGCCGGCCCCCTGGGTGGTTTTTAGTGGAATCACCACATACTCCTAGCTCCTAACCCCGAGGAGCAGGAGATCCGAAGGGATTTTGCACCCCGTCAAAAAAAAAAGGTATGTAGACTTGTCTTAACTTGACTTGTACATCTGAACAAGGGGTTGCAAGAAAGTGACGGTCACAAAGGAGTCGACGACGGAGGAGGGAGAGAGAAGTACAAGTTGTTCTGGCCGCAGCAGATGCATTTGGCGCCGGAAGCAGCCAGGATTGGAATACAATCTCCGGCCGCCAGTAGCGCTATGCGGGCGACGAGTTTCTGGGAAAATCGTCGTCTGTACAGACACAAGCCCGAAAAACAGTGCGCAGTATTGCGCGCATTTGTCAGAGGAGTGCGACTGATGGGTAATGGCATCCTTTTTAAATGCAATAGCGATTCTCATTTCTTTGATGATAGGCAGGCAGTGGGTCCACATGGTTGTTTAAAGTCAATGATAGTCCAATAGGCTCCATTTAGACGTTGCTACTTCGTCACTAAAGACAAAGATACATTATACAATCATGTTTATACTGAGAAGTTGTTGCGTCTAAATAATTTGTTAAATGCCTAGGTTTTTAAGCGATACCTAGTGTGCAAGCTCAATGTCAAAAATGTTCTAAATATTTTAGATAACTAGGAGAAATGACATTATTTAAAATCAAATATTTATAATTTCAAATTTTTTTTGCGGATTCTACAAATTAAACCGGAGTTTTTTTTTTTATATAAATATAATGCCTACCTAATATTTCACTATTAGTGTTTTTTCTTAGTATTGCAGGTTACTAAAAAAATTTAGCTTGACAACAATTCATACTAAATTCCTTTTACTAAATCAAATCGCTTGAAACACAATTGATCTTCATTTCATTATGTTAAGTATCCATTGACCTATATTGTTAATCATTATTTTTTATCACCGCTTTTTGCCTAATTCTTTTTCAAAGGTTCGTTATTCCCTTTGATCTATAAAAGTGGCATTGTTCGTGATTTATAATCGGTATAATGAGTCCACTTGGTTTTGATACTGATTTCAAACTTTTAGACATCAAAAACGTGAACTTTACGAGTAGTATTATCTGTCAAAATGAACTGTAATTAACTGTAAAAGTTTATTCCCTTAACTTCACAGCAGTGAAGTGACTTTATGTCTGATGAAACTATGTCCATACATACGTAGCAGTATTATTCTATGAAGTGTCTACCGTGGGAGAGCCATGCTTCGGCTCAAATGGGCCGGCTCGACCTGAGGGACACTACGGCCTCACAGAAGTACTGTGTTAGGCAATTGTTTTGTTGCTCTTCAACGAGTGAGTGGAGTTACAGGACCCCTCCTCCCTCTGATTCTAGAAGGTGCGATTCAGAAACGGCAACGCGCTTGTGAATCGACTGGCCTGTTAGTCCAGTGGTTAGTGACCCTGACTGCTACGCCACAGGTCGTGGGTTCGATTCCATGACCGACTCAGGACAAATGATTGTATAATGAGCACGGTCATTTGTTCTGTGTCTGGGTGTACTTTATTTATAATATGTATACATTAAGAAATATATAAGTGTGTTTATCAGCAGTCCGGCTACCATAGTACAGGCTCTGCCTCTATGGGATTAGACTGCCATGTGTGAGATGTGTGAAAATATTTATTTCTATGACTGCACGGATGGCGTAGTAGTTTAAGCGCCAAGCCGCTTCCTACATCGCTGAGTGTTGTGGGTTCGACCCTCATATAATACGGCATTTTGTGTGATCCACAAATTGTTGTTCTGAGTCTGGGTGAACTTTGTGTCCGTTTCATGTACGTTTGTAAAGTCCCCCGCGACACAGGATATATTCCTAGTGCAGGAGTTGTCTTTAAAAAACAAAAAAAAAAACATGAGTTAATGTTGCTGCGTGTTAATGCGTCTGCTCGTTTGAACCCTTTTGCTATTAAAAAAAAACTTATACTAGTACTATAACATAGGCCAGATCTGAAACCATTTAAACGTCAAACAGAAGTTTTTCACGGAACTCTATATGTGTAATAAGTTTTCCTAACTTTTACGTAGGTATTATTTATTTACACTCAATGTTCTTTAAAATAGAAAGGGATGTTACAGCAAGGTTTGTTAATGCTACCGAACGGCTAACTTTTTGTGAGTTCTGTTCTTTATTGTACACATATTAGTATAACTTTAAAGGATTACTCTCATTTTACTCATAATTTATTCCTGAAGTGCCTTTCTATCTCATTTGATTTTCTTTACATAGTACAATATGAAGTCGCTTCGTTCTTGTACGGTTACATCTTTTAAACTTCGCAACGGCTTTTAATGCTGTGATTCAAAAGGATTTTTTATTCGTATAATACATTGCATCCGCGTGAAGCCGGGTTTGGTCGCTAGTATTTATGTATATAAAAGAAAGATGGTGTTCATAACAGATTACAAGTAGATGATTTAATGTAATATTAGCACTTTACTTTCTTCAGACAGTAAGGTGTTAAATTGGGATTTCACGAAGATATAAAACACTAAAAATGTAAAGGTAGCCAATTAATGGTTATATTGTTTTACATCAAATCTGACAATAAAATTTGTAAGTACTATTATTTTGTGAAATAATAGTTATAAAAGATGTTACCGTTTTTGTCAAGTTTAAAATCTTAAGGCGTTATCGAATTATTGTTTTTAATTCCATGTGAAGACTATTTTACTCTTAGGTTTAGTATATTACTTACATCTATTAACCGTCTATAATTTCGTTTTTATGCATATAACTATCACACAAATCCTTTCATGTGTATATAAAAAAAAAAAAAATGAAATGCTGTTTGTCGTACCACATCGGTTTGAGAGCACTTTTCTAATATAAACTGCCACAGTATTGCACTGTTTACCATAAGAAAACTAAATTATAATAAATCAAAATAGTAAAACTTCTTTAGTTAAAAAAGAAGTTTTCACTTCAAAAACATAGATTCTCTTTTTGACATATTGATTGACATCAGATAGGCAACGTTCTATTGTAAGATAAGTTTATAATTCTGTTTAATTTATTGCCTCTTAGATGAAATTAAGGTAACATCCAATTACTTCTTTTATTTAAGGAATTTTTACAAACTGTCTCTCTGCTTATAAAACAAGGCGTTAAGTGTCTATTTAAAAAAAAAACATGAATAATTTGAAGAGTTTCTTCAGTTCCGTCGATATGACTGATAATGATGCAATATTGAATGTTGTGGATGGCTTAACTAGAAACTTAAACTGTGAGTATAGCACATTTTCTACAGCTGCTGGAACTATAATATTGACTTTCCTGCATTTTATCTTCTGTAACGCACAATTATGTATGTGAACAGACTATTTCATCCTCATCAATCATCATCAACAGTCTTTTATAAGCCACTGCTGGACATTGGCCCCTCATTAGAAAGGAGATTTTGGCCTACTATACTGGGACAGACGGGTCTACGGCCAGACGGGTTGGTATAGGGTTCGTTTCAAGTTTTCGTTTTCTTTGCACTGATGTTGTCCTGCGTAGTTGGCTCCCTTAGTCGGCTCTTGCGACATCCACCTGATGAATAGGGTTGGCGACATTATGTAATCTTAATCCATCACCACACGGACCGTATCGATTAATCGTAATTTTGTAAAACTTTGCTAGTGTTATTGTGTCACCTTTCAACATAACTTTAATAAAAGTGTAAAACAATACTATCTGCGGAGTCGACATATCGGAAAGCTCTATGGGAAACCTTACCAATCAGCGTACACAACATAGTATACTAAACTGTAAATAATATCTAGTGTAACAAAACTTTGTTGCAGCGGATGCCGTTGGCGGATGCGAGACGGCGAGGACTGCGGGCGGTGCTGGAGAAGCGTGTGTGCCCTTGCGATGCAATGACGGTGGTGAGTAAGGCATTAGCACTTAGCTTAGCTTTTATGTTATTTAATTCAACAGTTTCTTACATTCTACCATTTCTGGTTTACAAATATTTTCATTTAGGTGCTTTAATGGTTATAATTAAAATTCGAAAATAAATGAGGTCAATGAAATCAAATACAATAAATTATTTAATTTTTTGAGAGGAATTAGAATACAATCAATCAATTAACATACTATACATAAATAATGGTAGAATTAATTAACATCCACAATACACATTGGAATAATAAAAGTAATTAAATAGAAAAAAGTCAAAAAACAAATTTAATGACAAACATTTTCAGTTAAATCGCTCATTTAGAAATTTATTTAAGGAATAGTAACACTTTTGTAAAATGAGTTCGAAGACACTGGGTTTAAATCTTTGATATGTTAACGATTTAAAAGTGTCGTGAATGCGAATGGACATACAATACATATTATTGAAACATATTTTTAGATTTAGTCCAGGTACAAGCAGCTTATAACTTCTTCTGACTGATCTGTTTTGTTTCAACAAAGGCACATAGCTGTCCAATGGCTGCGTTCTGCAGAGAGCACGTATGCATTTTTTTTGTGCCCGAAAGACTCTATTTACATCAACAGAACTACTCCACACTATCAAACCGTACCGCAACACTGATGAGACGTAACAGTGACACGTGCAAAGTGCCGCTTCAACACCGGCTACCCGCGTAATTTTAACATATACAAATTTATCTATTTTAGAACATATAGCATCTATGTGTGCCTTTCAATTTATTGCAGTTTCTAACCATTATTACACCATTATGTGCGTTTATTGTTTATAAAGTGATGAGTCCTATAGGATTTCTGGTTATGATACTATTCCCTTTTTTTGCAATGGGCTTCTTAGCACATAAAATAAATTATACTCTTGTATCTTTTTTTATACATTTCCGAAATATCGAATTGAATAATTTAATTTGAATTAATATTTTTTCCTAATGACAAATATATTTTATGCGTTAACCTTAGACTTTACAAGCTTTTGCCCGCGGCTCCGCCCGCGTGTATGTCGGCTATCGCGGTAAACAGTAGCCTATGTTACTCGCTGATAATTTAGCATTCTATTGGTGAAATAATTTTTAAAATCAGTTTAGGGGAGTGTAAACTTGTTGAAAGTCTCACAAACTCGGAAATATAATCGCCTAAGGATGAGAGTTGTTAGTTTCCCTTTTTCTGAAGGAAATTATTAATATAAAAATTATGCAGTTATAGTTTCTGAACGGTATAGCAATATATAAAATAATATACATTTTTCGTACCAGGTGTATATTAAAATAAGGGGTCTCAATAACTTCCAATAGTGTATGAGCTACAAAGCGAGTTGGTTTAACCGCGTTAATTTTTAGTTTTTTTTTTTTACGATTTCTAATTTCTTTTTGTCTTGTACTATTGTAAATATAATGCAAATACACCTAAAAAAATCTAGTTTTCTATATTACAATAAGAGTTACTTAGAAACTCAGAAAAACATTACTGCCATATGCAGGGAATAGTACCTACAATGAATACTTATATTGCAATGTTACACATAAGACATTATGACTGCTCTTGTAGTTACTGTTATAAATATGAAAGTGAATTTGTGTGTTTATTTGTTACGCTTAAACCACTTAACCGATTTCAATATTTTTTTTACCAAATGGAAATCTACATTATCAGCAAGTAACATAAGCTACTTTTTACAGCGTGTTTATAATAATAAAAATAATAATATTTTTTACACGCTTTATATTAGCTTCACTTGTATAAACATACATGTATGTTTGTATGTTTGTAACCGTCTCCTTTGGGCGTGATTTTGACTGACTTTAAACTTTCAGAATTCGTTCAAACTTTGTAGATATATCGAGGACCGATGACAATACACTAATTTAAAAAAAAATAAAAAAAAAATAGTTTAAAAAAATACTAAAAAACACGCTTTTATAGAAAACCAAACTAAAGCATAGAAAATAAATTTTAATAAATTTGAAAAAAAGCGTTTGGTGCCTATTGTCAATAGTAAAAAGCACCCCACGCTTATTTTCAAATTTAATAAAAAAGGTTTTTTGGGAAACAATTTTTTTTATTTATTCAGACCGAGTCCATAGTGTTAGTGTACAGTTTTTCTGAACCTATGTTAGTAGCCTACAGTGTTACTATTACTATTTGTTGTAAAGGTTAATGTAGTTACGTTCTCACCATGCTGTTCATTACAGTTGAGTCATATTTGTTGGCTATGATTCTTAGGATGCTATTGGTACTGTCCCGCACTCTTCTTAGCAAAGAGGCAGTACGCTTGCGTTTGATGGCATGGAAGCCATCAGCTCTCGCTCCCATAAATCATAAACATGGTAGAAGCACTACAGTAGCGGGGCAACTTCAATAGCATTCTAAAGGCATTATTATACTGAACGCGTAATGTGTCAAGAGACCTCTGGGTACAGCTGAGCTGGCACAGCGAGAAGAACATTGCAAGCACTAGTGCTAGATGAGCACCTGCAATCTTTAGGTGTTCAATACATGCTACATATAATACGACGTACTTGGTTAGCGAAGACAGTAAATACATCAACGTTCATTACGAGCCCCCCATTCCCACTCATACTCAGAGTCGAAGGACCGAGTGGCGATTTGACCGTGAAATATTCTCTGAATAATTATGTTATCGTTTACACCCTCAACACTTATAGGGAGGCCAGACTTAGGACTCAACTTGTTTGTTGCCTTCCAAAAATCACAAAAATTATTTGATGCTCGATACTCAGCAATAATGTCTATCTTTACTTTTTATTATCTTGACACCACTTTAAATATTTTTTTAATGTCTTTCTACTTTCACACTTGTCATTGTAAGCTATACCCCAGGCACGGCCTATCTTCAGAGACCCAGTGTAAAAATTTAAGCCTGGCCTCTCTATGAGCCTCACGCATATACTGTTCCAGCCTGTTACATGACGGTTATTTTCACAAGTATTATTACTGATATGACTTAGTACTGCTGAGTCGGTTAGTACACCTATTATATCACTGTAAAGTTTTTCTAATCTATGTTTATGTTCTGTACAATTGCAAACATTAGAACAACAGTTTCTGAATTCTTCAGGAAAGTGTTTCAACTTTAATTTACTGTGACCATGATATTTTTTGTTTTTGATCATTTGTTCTTTTACCCCATATGACTATATTTATGGTATTACTGTACAAATACGATCTAGTCTTACAAACAATTCTATTTAACTGGCACTCAATACCAAGCAGCAGATAATCCGACCAAAATGTATCATATCCAACAGATATATTTGTTATTGTTTGCCTAACCGAATGACTAACAACGCAGTGGTCAAGCCACCTCGTACACCCGTGTACGTCACTAATGAACATGTAATTGTTCGAATTGCTGCCTAGAATGTCTATATCCGCACAAGTCAATTGATTATCAGCACATAAGCTAAATAATTCATCGCCGAACAATTCACCCGGGTGCGCATTGAAATCCCAAATATAAATACAGCTTCTACTGAGTAATTGTAAACAATAGCATATACCTCACTAAAGCAGTCCGTTAAAACTGGCAGGTTCTCAGCTGAGTTTGTAGGCATGTACAGACTAACCACAAGAAAAACGTGACCATCGATTGTCATTTGATTGGACTAATACGTGGATTGTTGCACTCAACTACTGACACATCCGTAAAAGTATTCTTGCGCCACATTAACGCCACTCTGCCATAAGGTCGACCTTTAAGTATATCTTCTGAGGTATCAACCGCTGATGTGCCTGTGTACGCAAAGTCTGGATCAATAGTAACAAGGAACGGTATGTCCTGAGCAAGAAGCCAGGTTAACTGCAACGCTATAATATTCGCGAGCTTACATAATTTTCGCACACACTCGAGCGATCTCTTAACCGGTTTACAGTTAAAACTTATAAAAGTAGTTTTCCCATTAATCTTTACATCCATTAAATACCATTTGTTTTTATTTCACTCTTTTAATGCTATCACGATATTTGGTATTTTTGTTAAAATACATAAAGCGTCAAAACGATATACCTTCCAGTCGAATTGAGAACCTCCTTCTTTTTTTGAAGTCGGTTAAAACAGCTCCAGTTTGTGCTGTGGTACAAGAATTTTATGTGCATTGTAATTTCTCTCTTTCTTCATTTCAATTTTCTTTAAAATTATTTCTGTCTGTGTCTTAGATCTAATATACTCAGCAATATCACTTTCTGTTGCCTCTTTATTTACATTAGTCATAAAGAGTGGCATTTTTGTATCGGCCGCTTGAAACTTATTATTTCGCTCCTTCATCGCCTTTCCTCCTGCTGTCAAAACGATATTTCGACCTCTTTCTCTGTACAACCATCCATTTATTTTCAACTCGATTCCTTAGTAACGATTTCTATGGTTTTTATCGCTCCCGCTCAACGCCAGTGTGCTAGACCGCGCCTGAGATTGCCTATGTGACGATACCGGGTTGATGACGTCCTCGCTGCTTATCAGTTCGCATGTGAGCGGGATAGACGCAGTATCATTGCGTGCGGGTGACAAGCACGAATTCTTCTCAATGATATCGTTATCAGGTTCTAATGCAACAGTCAAGTCTTTTGTACAGTGAGGTAGGTAAGTGTTCAACCCCTCCGACTCATTCAAACTATTTTTTGGTATACCTCCTGTTTTCAAATTAATATTTTGTAAACCACTGCATTGTGTTTAGAGACTGGACTTGCTTCTTGAGGATCTGCATCCTCGGCATGGTAACAACGGGTCAGAAAATGTTTTGTTGATCAGCCGGTGGTTGAGCAAATATCGCGCGTATGCTACGTGCTTTACTGAGAATTCTTCATTTTGGGCTTCTTCATCCTCAGCAGGTTGTATATCAATCCTATGATCTTGCTGCTGCTGTTATTTCTGTGAGCTACCCTTTTTACTGGAACTCTCTTCTTCCAGATTGCCTACTACAGCTTTATTTATCGCGGCATTATACGCGGTATAAGCTGGGGAATTATGGTACGTCTTCAAGGTCTTTTCACACTCCAACTTTTCAGTACTCATCAACACAAACAGCCTTGTCTGCCTCAGGAAGGTCATGCCATCTGCCTTCAATGATTCTTCCAATTCCTCATAGCTTTAGATCTGGATGTGCGGCCTTTACCGAGTTCCAGACACGACGGCAGTATCTCATGTAGGGCATTAAAGGCTTTTCTGGTGGGTTTGGTGGTTTCATCAGACGAGCACCCACCCCAGCACCTTTGCCGATCGTCTGTGGCTGAAATCCAGGATGTGAATGCACAGTTGAAACGAAGGGACATGTTTTATAATCTTTGGCGGTCTTTTCAGATTGGGCACCTCCCGCCATAGAACCAGTCCGCCGCGCGCCCTCTGCACCGAAACGTTGCTGGGGACGCTGCGTGGCCGCAGCGTAACCTACCGGGTGGCTCAGCGAAGCACTACCTTGGTATTGCGGGTGGTAGTGGTATTGGTTATGATGCGACGGCGGTGCATTCATACCGCCTTTCATCATACCGAAACTTATTGGGGTCCCGCAATCATTTAATGCCGATTGCTTATCATCGACATCGGTTGTTTTGTTTATAACTATTTGGTGCAGCCATTACTGCCCGTTGTCTGGACTTTCTTATAGAAAAAAGCTTACTGATATCACCAAATACCTGAAATTAAAACCTGATTTGAAGTAACTGTAACATAAAATATATTGCAAGCGTCACTTATTTATGTCCTGTCACCTTTCTTTTCTTTTTTTTTTTCCCCCCGGATACCACCTATCGGTGGCATGTCGGACTCGAACCGACTAAAACCGCACGCCGTCTCGGGTACTAATAGCCGGGGAACCAGGTATACCCTAGAAAGGAAGTCCCTGGTGCCCTGACATACCTCGGGCCATCTACAGACGAGTAGGCGACCCCCCCCCCGTGTGGGAACCCCATGTTCCCTTTGCTCCCTGGAATCGAGCGCGCTTCGCAACGCGCTCGCTGCCACCCCGTCCTGCTTCTGCTAGGGTGACACATGGCCTCACCTGTCACCCCCAGGCCTGCGCTTATGGAGGACGGAGGTCGTTCTGCAACCTCCGGGGCCTGAGTCGCCTGCGGTACCTGGCCCGTTCCCGGTCCTGGCGGGCCGGGAGAGTCCTAAACCTCTCCCGGTCCCACTCCGCCGTCTCCTTCGCGATTATGTCCTGTCCCCTGTCAACAGATAACTACAAACTAGAAGATAACATGCAGATACAAAATGTAATAGTGCTATTTAATTTTTAACTCTTTAAGTTGTCTCGTAGTTACGGAACTTTCTTTAATACGATTCAACTCATTTTGCAATATCAATTTGTGGAGATTTTTTGCAACAAATATTTTAACCTCTTCTGGATCCGTTTCTTTGAGTACAAAAATAACATCGTAAAGATCCCTTTGTGCTATGCCATCTCTTCTACGTGAAATTTTACGCCTTGTTGTGCTAACCGAATCGAATAGTAATTTATGTTTATTACTCACTACTGTTTTATCAAATATTTAGAAAAATTAATGTTATCGATAATCAATGATATGCCTGTGTCGATCTATAACCGTCCGATTTCAAGCGGTTGAGTAGTTAAAACCTTCACGAGCAAGTATAGTGGCAGGCAAGTTTAGTATATTTCATTTATGATAATGTTATGTATTGTTCTTAAAAATAGGTACTAAAAATGCTTCTACTCCCATTATAACTAACAAGTACATTAGGTGTAATTTATGCACTATTCGTATCTCCCGAAATGCAATAATATTAGTTTGTTTAACATGGCGAGTATGGTGATTTACCTTGTAGAATTAGTTTATTTAAAATCAGAAGACACTTCTGGTTTGTCAAATTGTTAGATATGCTTCTCAATAATGCCTTCAACCTTTTTCTTTTATTTACATTTCCACATGAGTCTTTTCGTGCATTCCCCTATCAAACAATGGCTTTATCAAATCTATTATAATACTGCCACTGTACAAAAGTAGTACAAATTGTTAGGATTACAAATCCTGAGTCATTTTTTTTCAGTGAAGAATATAATTTACACTATAACTGTAAGCCAGTGCAATTCCACTGCAAAGTAACGATATATTATCGTCTCACTTCAACACCGTTACGTCGGAAGTGATAGTTTATAGTTTTCGCAACTGCTTGCACATTACACAACGTAGCTTGATGCAAATCTATGCAAATTAAGATTTCTTACTACCTGCCTTTGATGAGCCTAATCATTTGTTAAAATCTACTACAACATAGAACTACTGAGAGTTACTAAAATACAAGTATTTTTAAACATGTATGTATTGTCTGATACTGGTAATTCAAACTTATTACTTGCAGCGTTTAAAAAAGCGATATTAACTTTTAGTTGTATAAAATGGATCACTTCAACATATTCTATGCTTAGTGCCTAAGAATACGGAATGACACTACCCCAATTCATCCCGTGGGTGTCGTAAGAGCCGACTAAGGGCGCAAAACAACGCAGGTCACCAGCACTGCAAAAAGAAGGTAAACTTGACACAAACCCTATACCAACCCGTCTGGCCAGCGTGGTGTAGTAGGCCAAAACCTCCTTTCTAAGGAGAGGCCTATGTCCAGCAGTGGACTATTAAAGGCTGATGATGATGATGATGATGTAGAAATTGGATATTAAAGCGCGTTTTCCGAGTCTTACAAGGGGTCTGTTCGGTTTTTGCCCACCTTTCTGCCTTTGTCCCTAAATGTAACGTCCAGAATAAGAAGTGCCCTCTTTTTAAAAAAATCCCACTTTTTATTCGATTTTTGGGCATTTTATGAGTTTGACCCCTAGTTTAACACGACGACCTTTTATTCATTTTTTGTCATTATTGAAGTATCTGCTTGAAATATTTGGTTGTTGTCGTTCAATTGATTAAAAACATTTTTAGTTATCTTATAATGAACATAATCAGCGTAGAATGTTTGACAAGACTCACGAAGATAAATTTTGCATAACGTTTAAGCTGTTTCTTCTTATTATAAAATTAGTTTTTTTTTGTGATTGTGATTTCCTACTCACTGTACAAAATAGGGTATTTTTCTTGTAACAACAGTAAGTAAAGGGACAGTAGAGGAAGTAACAAAAAATATTGGAGCCCAAACTCGAAAAGCGAATAAAAAGTAGCAATTTCTAAGAAGGGGACAAATCTCTACGAATTACTCTGGGCATTGCATTTAGGGACAAAGGCAGAAATACAAAAATATTAGTTTTACAGTAGTAGTAATACAAAAATATTAGAACTTTTTAATTTAAAATATAGAAAGGGGGGTTTTTGCCCCCTTTCTATATTTTAAATTAATAAGTTCACATCACGCGTATGTTTATTACCCAAGCATACCTTGATAATTACGGTTCTGAATTTCAGTCTGCATAAATTTCATAACAAAGAAAAAGGAAAATATTTGCTATTATATATTTATTTAATAATTTAATACAAGTTAAAACTTCCTGCTTATTGACTGCGGATTGTGTAGCTTAAATATTTAAAAAAACTCCCGCCCAGCCTAAGAGTAAAAGGTTATTAATAATATCACTCAACCAAATCTCTTCCTTATATAGTCCGTCTCAACGACTGTCTTCTTTTAGATGGAAAATTTCCCTGAAGAGACGTGTAGAACAACTCCTACTTGCGCAAAAATATATTGCGCTGTGCTTCTTTCATCCAAAACCTCATTATTTTATAAATGAAAATGTGAGATTATGATCACCTTAACTATTCAACCGATCATAATGTAATTTTGAGGTAACGGTGTGCAAAAAAGTATAGGGACTTTTCGTTTAGAATAAAAGTGCTATTTCCGATAGATAAAAATAGCTATGACTCGAGAAAAGCCACATGTAATATCTTGTATAATTTAACTTTTGCAATTATTGTAATTTACTATTAGGCATGTCTATATAAAATATGCTTCTTCTTTCGATTTTGGAAGCAAAGAGATGATGTTAGAAAGAAACTGTGAAATCAACTTGATTTACAGACTATAAACATTGTTTTTATATTAGTTGATTACAGATTGAAATTAGACACTACACTAGAATACTTAACTAGACTACAAACCCAATATTGTTCAAGGCACACCTTACAAATACGTATGTATACTGCTATCAACGAATTTTATATTGATAGGATTTTTAGAATCTGTCAAGTTCAGAAAGGATATAATTTTCCTCTCTAAATTTATTCTGTGCCCTTGATATATCGTTTTAATAAGTTAATTCGAATTTTTACAATATCTTGATGCCACGGAATTCTAGGTAACAGCTACTTCAAAATCCAGGTACTTGTAGAATGGGAGGTCACGTCACCTGCCGACTGACGCAGGTGCTCACTGGGCATGGCTGCTTCGGTGAGTACCTGAATCGGATTGGACGCGAGGAGACGACACAATGCCAGCACTGCGCGGCCGACTGGGACTCCGCCCAGCACACGCTGGAAGACTGCCCCGCGTGGCTGAACGCGAAGTCCTGGTCGGTGAAATCGGACGAGACTTGTCCCCGCCAGCAATCATTACTACCATGCTGGCGGGTGAGGAGGGCTGGAGGGCTCCAGAAAGAGACCGCTGAACGGGATCGGCAGAGGGCCGATCCCGAGCGAAGAAGACGTCGACGACGTAATTAGCAGCCGACGGGACCGCGGGCCGCCAGAGTGGGGACCTCTGATGGCAGATTAATTGCTGCGGTAGGGGAAAGGATGGCAGCCTGATCGCACTAAAAATGTGATCGGGCTACAACATCTGGATAGGCTGAGAGGCAGGGAGAAGCCACTGGCTTTCCCTGAGATGGGACCTAGTTAGGTGCAGCGTCGATCTGGGGGACCTGAAATCACATGGCCCGGGTTCTCCCCAGAGCAGGGCGCCTAAGGCTGGCCGTCGGAGTGGTTTTTAGTGGAATCACCACATGCTCCTGGCTCCTATATCCCCAAGGAGCCGGAGATCCGAAGGGATTTTCCACTCTGTCAAAAAACAAAAAAAAAAGGTACTTGTAGAATGTGAATGTGGCCATTAATAATTATTAAGAAGTGTAATAAAAAGCCCTCAACTCCCGAATCCAGCCGTAAAAACAATATGTCCTTTCCTTTCCTTCTTATCTACTTGCAACCCTTTTAATAATCTTTCACAGGGTACTGTTGTCAGCAATAAGCTTATCCCTATTAAACGAGTGGTGAAGTTACAATTAGATTTATTTGCTGACGCTTCGTGATAGCCTTCCTCAAAAATCGCATTTTATTAATAGTTGATTTCTTCGTCTGTACCGAATGACTTATTGATTATTAATAAATAATTTCTAATATAATATATAAATCAGTAACGAAACTTACAAACGTATTTAACTTAAAAAAGGTATAGTTTTCTCCAAACGTATGACGTATGAACGAAAGGCATATTACTTCTGCGTCTATCTTGCTGTAAGTTCATAAATTATGTAGACTGTACATTTTAAAATAAGTTCATTTTGGAGTAGAATTTATGTTTGGTTGAATGTTAAAAACTACAAAGCCGTTATCAATAAACAAATACCGCTTCAGCTTAGATTAGCTTTATGGTCTACATTATCCACAATATTTAGGTTCGTCAGAGATCATTCGAGTACAGCGTTCAGTGGAGGAGAGAATCTTTGTTGACCTACGGACTGGGAATTCTATATATAAATATAGATCATATGAACCAAAGCAGAATAAACATACATATATTAGCAAGCACTATATAATTAAACTAAGCCTTTTAAAAATCGTGTAAATTTTTTCACGCATCACGTACATGATTCGCATACATAATAACGACGGGTCGGACTTAAGTTTACGAAGCAAAAAATCGGTCCACAATTTATTCGTGGGCGGGTTAGGCATCACTAATCGGCGTCATCAATCAGCTCGTCCCGCGCGATCGGATCAACTGACGGACAACCCCCGCCCAAACCCCGCGCCACACCTCGACTCACACCCCATTAATAGGACCTGCCGGACCCGGCCGCGTGTAAGTGGACTAGAGTGACATTTGCATTATACGGATCCACTGTTTTTATGAAAATATAAATAGGTTGGCTCGGTGTTGTAGACATGATCTATCGTAAAAACAGAACGCAGCTTTAAAGGGCATTACGATATGACCTAGCCTTCTTCCTGTGTAAGATTATCCATAACTGTCTAACGTCGCTAGCCGCCTTGTAGCCAGCACAATCTATTGTGATTTTGAATATTATAAAGTTTTCAAATACGTGGACTTTGTACTCTTCCTTATTTTATTATATTGATGTGTCGCACAAACATAGATATTTACACAGATATACAATCACACACTTGAATGGTTTCGAGCTGACAACATCCAGTCATATGGGCTGCAGTTGAAAATCAGCGTTGGAAGGCACCTGTAGCCATTCAACAGTATGCTAAGCAGCAGACCTATTGGCACTTTTTGTAAAGAATTTTTCATGAGCCAATTTGATTTACTCTATGAACTATTTTTAAATTTTACAACTTATGCAAGTATTAATATCAATATAATAACTAGGTAGTATAAGATAGATGGTAAAAGCCGCAATTTTTTTTCATATCCAGAATTCGAGATAGTCGCATTGTAGCCTTTCCATTAATGAGCATTAACATACACTAAAATCAAATTTATATAAACATATGTATATAATAGGAAAATGGATAGTCCATTGAACTGAAATGATCATATGCAAAAATCAGAGAACTAGCAACCTCCTGCACTAGTATTTTTTGGGAAACAACATTTACTTATTCTAAAAGAATACTAAATACATTACTGTGAATAAATTCATAAAAAAAGGATAAACGTGAGTTACAAGAAATATATAATATGTATTGAAAAAACGCAGGCATCATATACAAAGGAAAGAAAAAATATACACAACAAATGCAAAAATAATAATGTAGGGGAATATATAAAAGGAAAAAAATAACAGACATTTAAGTGAGGTTTCATGAGGTGGAAACAAAGAATGCTTGAAATTTTATCCGCATAATATTTGACAAAGCCAATGTTTACCTGAGTCGTTGGGCTGGCCGTTTTGTTATCTATGACAACAGTCTGCTTGGGGTTTGTTGCGATGAACGCACTGAAATACTCCTGTAAATTTACCATCGTAGTATTTATGTCGTTTCAATAGGGTTGAAATCAATTTTACGCAAAACAATCGCATATACGAGAGACCTTCACGCTTCGCTGACATGGGTACTGTTTACACCCGTCTCTGAATTGATTTACCCACATCCGTAAATGTCACAATTTTTCGCGCCCATCTCGACTATTATTGGACAATGAATACGTATACAAACATGCCTATACGTCGGTTATTCTTGCGTGAAATATATATCTATGATCTTGAATTAGATTTCCCTATTCTACTCCTAGGAATTACTTAGAAACTCACAATATTGGAAAGTACAAGTACGGATGGCGATAGAGAAATACTGTTATGATGTATTAATGCTTTTTTAACTGTAATGGTCAATTCCCACCAAGAGTTCAAGACAGCAAAGAAAGTGTTTTCGGTGACTTTGCACAATATCTCAAGATCATCTCGCTCCTCATCACGTAAACGTGAAGCTGGTGACATTTTAGCGTACTTTCTAAACTGGGTTCAATTTTGTTTAGTGAATAAGTTCTATATTTTATTGCTGACTTAAAAAAGAACACGTCACGCTGTCTAACCGCAATGATGGTAAGGTACACACCGCATCTTAGGGCACAGTCGCCGCAGATGTAGTGGTTACTTTACTTGCGGTTACTGAGGAAAGTACGACTTTATATGCCTTATAAGAAATCTTAGAAGCCTTATCTGATAGTCAGATGACTTTATTGAAATGGATGCACTATTCTAGGCCAAAATCAGATTAAAATACAAGCTCTTTCTCTTAAAAATAAAGTAAACTTTGTTTAATTTATATAAAACTAGATTTCAGTTAGAATTTGGACTACAAATATTTTACAGCTTAGTAAACGAATAAGGTGTATCAATTTTTTCTAGTATTTTTGTCTATTCCACATAACGCTTTTAAAATATAGTATATATAAAAATACCATTAGTTAAAAAAAATACAAATTTTATTCACTGTCCCTGAAATCCGAGCTTTTGATGTTTTTAACGCCCCAAGCGCTCCAATAGTAAAAGTGCTTTTTGATGTATTTTTACTACAATCATAGTTTAATAAATATTCATATGAAAAAAAATATATTTAAAAAACGCGGGATGTGGAGACTGGAAACTACGAAAACGAAAAAGTGCGTTCGTCAGTTTCGTAGTTTCAAATTCATAGTTTTTCATTATGCAAATTCGTGTCGAGGCACGATAGGAATCCATAACGTTTTTGTATGAGGGTAGTCTTGAATTGTTATTTGGATTATAATTATATAAACTTGTTATCTTTACTAATGTATTATAAATTTATTTAAGTGCCACATCTGAGTCGTTTCAATAAATAAAGAATATAGATTTATATCTTTTCACAATTAGGGTTTTCTGAAATGTTCCACGTGAAATGGCAGCACTGTAGCGTCAGGTCCAACCACCTGTCAAAACACATACACGATTTGTATTTTTCGATATTTTTTTTGGTTTAGTCATTCTTAAAAACCTTATAAAAGGAATATTGTTTTCTAAAATGCCACAGTGTTGTGCAGTGCCTATGTGTGCAAATAAAACTTTTGAAATGTTGCCGAACTGAAGATTGAGCTCAAAAAGAGAGGCCTCTTTTTGAGCTCAATCTTCAGTTCGGCAACATTTCTCTGGCCGTAATCTATAATAAACTCAATAACACTTCCAAGTTCATAGAATTTCACTAAAAAATTATACGTTCGGTAAGAATCTGTGCTATCTGACAGCTGTTTGGACCTGACGCATACGAAGCGCCGTCTGGTGGCAGAAAAAATATCAAAAACCCTCATTGAAAATAGAATACATACATCCTACTTGGTTTTGAAACGCGGCGTAACATTTTAGTAAAATCATGATGTTAGTGAAACGTTTTCAAAACTTTACCTGAACTGACGTGCTTTTACATTTACTATTCGATATTCCGAAGACGAAGCTTAAAGTTTTAGTTTTATAGTTACTTCAAAGAATAAAATATGCTTTTGAATTCAAATGTTATATTAAAATATACGTTGGTGCAGATCGTGGAAGCTACTAGAGAAGGGAATTGAATAGCAGGATAGTGTAGTGTAGGATTGATCGTTTCATAATTAATATTCTGTATACCTTTATTTGGTGCAGGAAGAAGCCAGCAAAGTAGTGAAATTGCTAAGTTCTTTGTTCTACTCTCACGAGGATGGCGACTCACCAGGACGGGTGCCTAATAAGTCTATTTACTCAGACACTGGTTTTTCTTGGCCACCTGTAAACTGTTTTCAATTTTTAAATTTAGTTAAACTAATGTTTTTTTTTCAGAACGTGCAGTTCTCTCCAGTTACGTTGCACTTATGCGGCAATGTGCTCAGCTTGCTGAAAAACTTTACAATAAATGATAAATAGTGTTAATAATATGAATTATTATGAAAAAAAAACTAATTCACTTATTCTCTTAATATAATGTTCTATTAAAAAAAAATGTATTATTATTTTTATCATAAATAGTATACGTATATAGCGTATCATACAAAATTTTGGTAAAATTTATTTGTGACAAAATTTATGATTTAAATTTGTGGAAAGGAATCGACAAAAATGTTAATAAACTTTAAATATGATATCTTTGTATTTAAAGTAATATCTACATGTGATACTGTAATTAATTGTATTTAATGCTTAAATAACACTTTGTATTTTTGGAACAACAAATTGTTAATTTTATGATTTCTAAATAATCTTTAAATAAACAAATTGTCTTATAAGTATCATCAGTATCAGGTATCGATCAGATACCTATAGATTAGATATCTATAATGTGATGATGATGATCATACTTATATTTGAATAAGTCACATCACATCATCACATCAACAGCCTATAACAGTCCACTGCTGGACATGGCCTCTCCTTAGAAAGGAGGTTTTGGCCTACTATACCACGCTGGCCAGACGGGTTGGTATAGGGTTTGTTTCAAGTTTTCCTTCTCTTTGCAGTGCTGTTGTCCTGCGTAGTTAGTTCCCTTAGTCGGCTCTTACGACACCCACGGGATGAATAGGGGTGGTGACATTACGTATTCTTACTCCGTCACCACACGGATTGAATAAGTCGGCTCGTGCATATTATTTGACATGTTTGAAGGCTATTTAGATGAAACTATTTAAAAAGCTAAGAAATAGTCTATACAACATTTATTCGCTCAAAAATTCTCTATTTTTGTGAACCAAAATGCCGACATATTAATCAAAGAATCATTTTCGTACAAAATTGCTTTTTGAAATCATAAGAAAAGTAATTTTCCAGAATAGCGTAAAAATGAAAACGCAATAGTGTATAAGCACCCTACAACAGTTGAAACTGAATGAAAATTTTGTTGTTGCGGTACCTCTGTATGCATCAGCGAAAAAAATACTTCAACGGTAATCGGTTTACTCCATTCTTGAACCCTCTGCAATAGGGTTCGAATAAATGCTTTAAAATGCTATTTTGCTTGCGGTTCTATTTTCTTTTCAATACCTATACGAGTAAGGGGGATCTTGAGAAATACCGCTCTTGCATAAAACTATTATTTTAGGTACATAAAAAAGAGATATTTTTGTTGGTTCAGCAGATGAGGTACAGGTCTGATAAGTTGGTCTGAAGTTGTATTGGGTTTTAAATTATATTACTATGGCAAGTTCTAGTCAGCTTAATCGGATACCACTGGATAACCCATCGTAAAAGAATTTGCAAAAAAAATAAACTTTGTATAATACGTAGTGTTAATGGGAAAACCGACTAAATGACCAAATTGTCAAAAACGAGATATTACATTCTGAAAGTTAGACAAAGAAAATCTCTGATGAAATTAATTGTAATGTAAGTTGCGTAAAAAAATATAGTTAGAACAATTATTTATCATTATCATTATATAACAATGTTATGTTCCGCAAGTTCTTGAGCTTATCCCGTTTGCCATCGAGCTCTTCTTTCCGTCGTCTTTCGTACAAGAACACCTTAGGGCACACAGTACGCCTCCACCGTGGTCTGTCTAGGTAGGCGGAGACATTTAAGGTGGGATCTATCTAATGTGCGGATATATTTCCGTAACAGGCGCCGCGATGCGTAGCCATACAGGAGATTGAGCAGGATGATTGCCATGTACACAACTATTTTCGTAAGGAACTTTATGTCATGTGAACGGAACACCTTGAAGCGGAGTTTGCCATAGGCTGCAGCGGGTGCTCTAAATCTGTTGTTGACTTCGCTATCAAGGAAGCAGTTTGTTGTTAAAGTGCTGCCCAGATATTTGAACTTGTCTTCCTGCTTAACTGAGACTTCACAGAGTTTAATGTCGACTACTATTCGGTGTATCTTAGACCATCAGTTCGGTCTTTTAAAAACTGATTTTTAGACTAAATCTACGACATGACTCATCATAAGCCCCTCTGGGGTTTCAGCCACACTACATAAGTCGTCCGCATAGATCATTTCGGTAATGGTAGTGTGAGACATTTTGGTGTAAGCTTTTAGTCCAGATAGGTTAAAAATGGAACGGTGGAAACGCATACGAATGCCGACAGACAAATCCTGAAAGGCCTCCCTTTGTGACAGCTGACTCTCAATGTGTCTGGCAAGATGTAAAAAGCATTAAAACTGTCCGGCTATTGAGGTCACATTTTATTATAAGTCCCCAAGTAACATATATAAAATTTAGCTTTTATACTATAACGAAAGTATAATAATAATTTATTAAAGTTAGGGGGTGTCTGGCAGGGGGTAGCAACTGTCATAAGTGTCTGGCAATGGAAAACGATATTTCTAAAGTTATCCCGCAGAAAATATAAAAAATTGAGTACACGTACACGTTTTTTTATGGAATAATGATATTTTAAGTTTGAGTTTTCAACATGATAACTAAAATTTTGAGCATTTTACTATCTTAGCAAAGAATTGCATATTCTTTGCAACTAAAAGCAGTAATACTCTTCCCGAATATTATTTCTTCTTGTTACAAGTTATTTAGAAAATGACTTTTGTTATGTAAGTAAGCATTGAAATTAATAGGTAATCTACATTATTATTCTTTAAAAAAAGTACCTAAAACTATAATCAATCCATGTTTCTTTCACTAATAATATTTTATATCATAATATCTATATCCATGATTCTACAATGTGTAAAAAGTATAACATTTACTTGAAAGTAGAAAGGCTAGATGGACTGATAGACTGTATACTTATATACTTTTTTCTTATAAATACATACCTACATATTATACATGGAAAACACCCAAACTCCGAAACAAATATTTGCAGATCATACAAATATTTGGTCCGACCTTTGCATTGAACCGGAGACGTCAGCACAGTAGTCTCAGACGCTACCACTGCCTCACCGAAGCGGTAAAGAACAATAAAATTATAAAATTATAGGTATTTTACATTAAAAAAAGCTTGCTTTTTAACCAACTTCAAAAACACAAAAGATCTCCTTTTTGATTCTCAATTCGTCCTTAATGTAATCGAAAGAGTATACTTCCGAGGTGGTCCCATTACCACCAAATCAAGATCTGATAATGGGATTCCAGAGAAATCGAAGGTAACCCTAAAATTTTACAGTCCCGACAACGTGTTTTAGCTTGTTTTTCTAGTTATATAGGTATTTGCGTTTAATAGTCCTTATATCATGTTGCTAAGCTGATGATAGCACGATCCTTGATATTTAGGAGTTCAAACAGACTAGAAGGTATGTATTGCTATTATAATTTTACCTGTTATATTGAGGATCGCACTTATTTTGGTTTTTTCAATTACATTTGTTACATACACATTACATTTTTTTGTTGGTATTATTTGAAGTCGGTTCAACTTTTTTTTTAAGAATTTATCATAAGAAGTGAACGGTGTGGTTATAGGCTTCTGTTATATGCAGAACTTGTCCCTACATAATATATCTCCGCAGTTATAGCCTTTATATAACTGGGTGTGTTAAAAGTCTGTCAATAAACCACACCTGCTTCTAATATTTTGCTTTTGATAGTAATGGCAAACAGCTGCCGTCTGTTATGTAGAAAATGCTTTGATACAACATTTTTATTATTATCTTTCTCTGAAGTTATATATTTTATTTTGCGTTTGAGAATTTTTGTATGAGAAATTTATTGTCAAATGACCAATAGAAAAAAAAACTTTAGCTCTTAGGATAAAAACTCGTAAAGCCTTATACCTGTATATATATTTTTAGTTTTAGTGGCTGCATTACTATTATGCCTGTATACTATATATACTATATGTTACCTTACAATTTTTTAAATATAGTAAGAATTCGTTTTAATTGACTCGCTTAAAATCAAATAAATGCAATTTACTAACAATGTGTGTATGGTATGGCTCATGGATATTCATGTTATAAATAACTTTTAGGAATTGTGGGCTGAAGCGTACCCAAAATTTTCTAATTAACCTCATTTAAATATAATTTACTAGACATGTATAGCTCCCTCTTAAAGTATTTCACCTTAAACTTGGTTCTTAAGTGCTATTAAAGACTTTTATAGAAGTCTACGAATTTGTATGATAAAGATTTGCAATGTCAATTTACTTTTAAAATTCGACTACTTTTTTTTTACATTTTTGGATGCTGCTGTTGTTGTGTTGTAGAGAACTCACTTCACTTTACTTCACTGTACTGGACAACCGAGTTGCACGTGGGCACGAAAGGACGCTCAAGACCCGTGGTCCAACGGCTATGTCCAACTAGTTGTACCAGGGGTAAATGAAACTATCCATAGACAAACTCAAACTTGAACTCAAAATTTCTTTATTTCATTACATTTAAAAAAATGAAATCTTCTCTTGTGTAGACTCTAAAGTCCTATGAGTTTAGATTGTGTTGAACTCATAGCCTTTATATAACACTTTAATTATTAATTATTAGCAAAAATCTCTGTTTTGTCAAATATTCAGCAAACTAAATATATACGTATCTAAAATCTCTGTGCCGATCTACGGACCATTTCCAAGGGGGTGAGCCTCATGAGAAGAAACTCACGGGCACTATTTTTTAATCTACATATACATACAATGGCATCATTAAATATACACAGCATTGTTTTGATGTGTGCCAGTATGTAAGTTTTAAGGACTAAAAGGTAAAAAGGCAATGAAGAAAAAACAGGGAATAGAAAAAAGAAAGTGAAGTAAAACATAAAAAAAATGGCAAATAAATAAAGGACACACTAGCCCACATCATATTTCCACTACGAAATAGCCTGTGCTGAATTAATCCCAAGCATTCTTGTCTTCTATGTAATCCACAATAGGCTTTCCGACATAGTTTACATTTTATTGTGAATTTAAATTTCTTTATACTAAAATGTTGTGTACTATTTGGGATTTTATTATAATATAATATAATA